AGGTTTGTGTTTGGCTTGATTCCTCCATGAGTTACTTGAGAGTAAGCGGAGAAGCTGCACAGCTGTTTTATAGGACGTAGGGAGTAGAAGGAACATTAAACAAATGCCCTTCTGGGCTCATCGATTAGTAAGCCAACCTGATAATATATTCAAACACGCCCCTATTTTGAGCAGTAAGATGTATGGCTCTAGCCATATAAAGCGAATGTCTTTGTGATGATTACTGTTAACTAGCTCAAAAGCCTAGGAGAATTTTCCAGAAACTAGTTCCTTTCCTTTATACAGACTTTAGAGTTTAAGATTTATCTTTAGCATTGCTAATGTCAAATACAGTTAGAATTTAGGGGTAGGAGTTGTCAGTGGTGTCACTGAAGTTGTAACAAGAGAGGGGTCTGCGGCATTTTGTCTATTTTATGGGTCATAATCATTTTCTTTTCCTAGGATTATCAGACTTGGCTTGACCTCAGAGAATTCGAAACTCGCATTGGAGAACGTTACATTACACACGAAAGTGATGACGCTCGCTGGGAAATACACGCATACACACACAACCTCGAATACCCAAAGCATTTCATTATGGCCCCCAATCCAGATGATATGGAAGAAGATCCCTAGTTATCAGCGAGCTAACTTCAGTGAGGAAGGATTTCATTCATGAACTCTGCTGCATAACTGTTGCTCTCTGCAGGCTGCCATCGCAAGGAGGCACAGCATGGGGAAATAGAACGATTGGTGGCGCCAGTCCTAGCTCATAACGAGTAGGTACATGAAGGGAAACTGAGTAATAAAACCACATAATGACATCAGAATGAAACTTGTTACAAATTCTTATAGCATAAGCAATAACTGGTTCTGTCATTTTTCTTAATCCTTCACATTAGCACAATGTGAATTAGCACTTAATTTATCTCTCCTTTGCTGTTACTACATCATTTGTTTTAAAAAGCCTGTGACTGTCTAGTTATTGCTTATAAGGCTGATTACTCAACAGGTTTGTAGTTCAGCAATTGCTATGAGGCTAACAATATATGTAAGGACTTTTAGTATTTGTCTATTGTTGGAGGCATTGATTTTTCTGGGTCCCGATAAATGGAACACTGTACTGCTAACCTTTTGGGGGCTGTATTCTTAAATATGATCTGTATGACATAAAAATTGTCACCTTTTCTCTGCTGCAATAGCCACAGGACAAGTGGACAATTGGTGTTACAAAATGAATAGATATAGCCGTCATCACTCAGCTCTGCCACTCAACACGTATGTTCTCAATTGACACCATCGTAATGCAAGCTGTGTGCCAACAGCCAGTGGGAACAGCTCTGTGTTTAACTCCATAATTAACCCTCACATGGGTTGAGTAATTTATAGATAAAATTAATACATACTAAAAGGAAAGCTAGTACAGTGTCAATAAATGTCACTATACAGCAAACAGTATCTTTCCTTCTTCCCTATCCTTTGGGTGGGATCTGCATTTTATTTTGAGCAGTTTGGGGGAGTGGGTTGAAGTCAGATAGGAAAGTTCAGTGTGTCGGGGCGGGACCGTATTACAGCAGTCTGGCAGATGGAGGAAGAGTAAGAATTCCTTACACGTCAGCTCCAGCAGCCAGCTGTTTTCATAGGAGTTATTAATGTAGATTTGGTGTTTCTAATCTAGCAGTCGAACACCAGAAGGGTTTCAGCTTTCCAGATACTGAAAGATCTGCATATTTCACTGGTTGAGCATCCCTGACTAACAAATCTGAAGTCCTCCAAAATCTAGAAACTTTGGAGTTCTGAGGCACTTTCTGATTTTCACATTAGTGATGTTCCAATCCGCTTTACCCAAAGAAAAGGAAACATGGTATCTGTTTCTTCATCCCCACTAGTCACCAAGAGTAGGGCTTTTATTGTTGTCCTTTTCTGTGCTAAGAGCAGAGATTTGGAGTCAGAGGACCTGGGTGGAGTCTCAGCTTCCTATTTTAGATTTGTTGTGCTGGGCAGGAGACGGTTTGTCTAAGCATTTAGTTTCTCAGTTTGTAGAACGGAGAGCATAGATTGCTGCCTTTGCCATCCACGGTGTGGCCATGAAGACGGGCATGTGTGAACATCTCTGACAGTCTGGAACAACCGTCGATGTAGTCAGCTACCACTGATCAGGTCTGAGGTAGCGAGAGAGAAACGGTCTGTGTGTGAGCGGACCAAGACTGGGGTGTCTTCACAGATGAGAAAGCAGCTGCGGGGATCTACCGAATATTGAAATCATCCTGAAGAAACAGAAACATTACAGGCTGCCTCTCTGTTGTAAGTTTTGATGCTTTAAAGTAGCCTCATGATTGCCATGTGACTACATGCATTTAAAGAAGTTGAGGCACAAGGTTAGCTGCTAAAGGTCATAGTTTGAATATGAATTTGAACCCAGGCCTATGTACCACGTCCTCTTCCCCGTCCCAGCCACTGATGGTGTACTGTCCATGTGTGTCCAGGAGACCCTGCACATATCTCTGTAACTGTTCTCATGCCGCAGTCGTGAAGAATATTGTTAAGGAACGTCTGTGAATGAATTTTCCCAGTGAGAGGTGGTGACTTCCCTCCGTTTCTGCAAGGTCTGCTTGACCAACACGTACAGGATGGAACAATTCTGCGTCACTCTGCTGTGAGGCGAGCTCACGGGAGTGGCCGTTCTGCTGTATGCTATCATCAGGCTTTACAAGCCATGACGTGAATTGCACAAAATTGTTTTTGTTGAAGGCCTGTGTGTCTAAAGAGAAAGACTGCCAAGGCACTGTCAGGTGGTCTGCCGTTGAGTAACTACTCCACTGTTTAACCTGCATAACTTTTTCTCTTTGTCTTAAAGCCAAGTTGTGTTTGCATAAAAAGTAATTGTTTCTTAGAAACGTGATAATTTTCAAAGTAGTGTATAATGACACTGTTTCGTACATTTTATATTTTTTTGTTACATCCCACTTTTTGTAAATATTCTCAAAACTTGATAATAAAATGTATTTCTGTATCACCATACTTTCCTATGTGAAAACTGCAGCCAGTCTCTAGTACAAGGTTCCCAAGAGAATTTTACTTGGTTGTAATATTTCCCCTGGGTCTGAGTAATAGAGCAGTTTTATAAGTAGAGCTAATGCTAGATGAGCACTGATTGTATTTACCTACCTCCCCCCACAGAGAAAGCCTGTCAAAAAGGCATTTCAATTGTATATTGCATTTGAGGTAATTATCTAGAAGGTTCATTTATTGGAATACAAGTGTGAAGAACAATGATAATTAATTTTTTTCAGTAACTACTCCAGATATTCAACAATTGCAACTACCAGAAGACTTAGAAAAATTTAATGTCTAATATAAAAAATAAATTGCTAGAATTTTATGAGATAGAAGAAATAGAGATGAGATAGAAGGCACTACTAGACTCTTCCCTCTTAGTTATAAAAGCTAAAAACAATTATGTATTTGGAAGAAGTCAACTGTGGGTGTTTCACCTTTTAAATGTTTTAGTCTAGGAATAGAATAGAATAGAATAGAATAGAATAGAATAGAATAGAATAGAGCAGTTAGGAATGCAGGCCATTCCTAAAACTGTACAGCATCTAAAAACTTAGACAGCAGGGCTGGGACGATGGTTCGGAAGGTAAAGTGTCTGCTGCACAAACAGAAGCGCCTCAGATTGGATCCTCAGCACACGCATAAAGACAGATACCATAGCGTGCCTGCAACCCCAGGGAAGGGCAGGAACAAGTATCTTTGGCCAGATTAAGGAGCTGAGTTCAGAGCCACAGATTCTGCCTCAATATTAAGGTGGAGAGCAATGGAGAGAAAGATGCCCTCTATCAACCTCCACATGTAGTACCCAGAATGTGAGCCCAGGTGCCCACTAGACTGTAGGTGCTGTGGCTGAAGTGTGCATACACCACACACACCAGTTAAACAAAGCCTCGCTCATTCTTGTCTTAATAGACTAAGATACAGAACGGGAACACCATTCTCAGTTAAGCCGCAGGAATAAGTGACACACCACTATATGGCTAATACTGCCAGGCGGTGGTGGCACATGCCTTTAATCCCAGCACGTGGGAGGCAGAGGCAGTGAGTTTGAGGCCAGCTTGGTCTACAAAGTGAGTTCCAAGACAGCCAGGACTATTAGACAGAGATACTCTGTCTTGAAAAAACAAACCAAACAAAAATGGCTAATACTGTTTCCCTCTGACCTTAGAGGGTTGTGCTACCGATAAATACTTCCCAAGAAAACTCATTTACAATATTAATATAAAAGTTCTACGGACCAAAATGATGACAACTTTTTACAGAACTAAAATTTTACATTTATCTGAAAATACAGAATGAACTCGGCTTAGGAAATTATTCCTTGATAGTCAATATTGCTCTTAAACTCTTATTTCAGTACAAATCAGGGCTGCTGCAGTTGTTTTTTACTATGACTTTTATTACTTCTTTAAAATTTTAGTATTAATCTGTACTAAAATCCACAGATTAAGCCTTCTGACACCTCCTTCCCCATCAACTCTTTTGTCCTTCATCCTCTTTCTGCACATGCACGCCACAGAATAGACACTAAGTTACACTAGCATATTCATTTAATTTTCTCCCTCAACAAAACCAGGATGAACACTAGAATCTCTTGCGTCTGGCTTTGTCCATTTACTAAACCTTAGAGATCCTTCTATCAGGATCTATGGCTTTTCCCTCGTAAGAAATAATATCCAGAGCTGTTGACTCAGATCAGATCGCTAGAAATAACCATTTACCTAACTTCCTGTTTCCGACACACCAGCCTGTGCTCGTGTATATTTTTAAAAAGTAAATAGAAATACATCAACTTGCTTCATTAAAAGAAATTTGATATCACAATAAACTACTTCACTAGGTTGCAAACAATTGTACCAAGAGTTAGTTATAACCTTGAACATTCAACCATTTTGATTGTATTTATGTAAAAGAGGCTATTTTGTTGACTGCAAAGAGATAAATAGTTTGAACATTACATTACCTTCAATGTACAAAATGAGTTTCTTTTATTTTGACTTTTAAAGCACACTGAGGTATAAAAAGTCCAAGTTGAACTATCACTGCCAAACAAGTTCATCAAACCCAGCCACAGATGACGTGGGGGTTTTTGACTGTCGGCCATTCCTTTCTTGACTCGCGCCATGAAGTCTCTGATGAGGTAGCAAGGCAAAGAAGTTGAATCTTTCTCCCATCTTCTGAGGGTTCATTAACATATCATACCCCCGAAGTAACTGCTGCTTCACGGATGCCTCATCTGCGTTATCTAAAAGAACCTGGAGGGGGAAAGGTCTTTAACACAGGTCACTGCAGAAAGACTTCCCCGCTGCAGCACTGGAGGGACTGCAGTGCTGCAGTGGAGCAGTGCCCCAGATGTGACCACAGGGTGCTTGTATCTGGACACACTGTGACCCAAAGGTACACACCTGCATCGTTAGCAGATGTCCCGGGTGATTTGCTCTGTAAGAATATGGAAGTGTCCTTGGAAAAGGAGTTACAAAACTATAAAATTCAGACCCATGAGCATGTTTTTCTTGGGAGCCTCCACCTCATATAGAATATATACATAGCAAGCTGTGCCACATCCCAGCTCTTCTTTCTGCAAAGGCTACACCGGGCTCTGCTCACGACAACAGCATGAAGCTGGTAGAGGTTCCTCTAAATAACGTTTTAAATGAAGGTACTTAATGTTAGTGAGATAAGCCATTACCTTCAGCCGGACATCAATGCCCATGTTTTTTAAAAATGTCCGTTGCTCTACTGGACCCAGAGAAGCTACTTTTCCCTGGGCCATTCTGCGCAGATAACTGAAGTCCACGTCCGCTGTCAGGTCGGCTGTTCCAGGAGCAATTAAGACATCATGAAGCTGGTGTCCACAGAAGCCCTTGAGTATAGAGAATAATTTTGACTGTTCTGGTTAATATTTTGAGATTAAAGAAAGGATAGCATACTAACACTTTTTTACATTGTCAATGTTAAAAAGTATGGCCTAAATCTGTGGTCTAAACTCTAGGCAATGACATCCTCTCTCTGAACAAGGTGATACATGGAAAACCCAACAGAATATACAAAGTTAGAATGTCTGAAGATGTTGCCCTTAACTTAAAGTTATTTAACATTCCCATTAATGCTGTGGCAAGTTCTGGTCATCAGCACCTAGGCAGTAGTTTACAAAACTTACCGGTCAATCACAGACTCCAAAAACCTGAAAATACAGGTGTGTGCACCATCTAGGCCTGCCCTACCATGATCCTGGAGGGAGGCTAGAGATCATCAGTCTCACCATGTTCTCCCAGCTAAGAATTCCCAACAATAATGGAGCTAGAAACAAAGAACCATTCGTCTAGAAATTGAGTAACAGCCTTCAGGTCAACATATTCCTATGAAAGAATATTCAACATATTTAAACGGATTGTCATAGTTAAAGAACATTTAGAAAGAGTGTTTAGGAAGGATTAAAAAATACATGGATAGAAAAACATGTTAAAATAGTTTGATTGCAATGTCTAGGTTAAATGTGCAAAGCTTTTGTTTTTTTTGTTTTGTGTGTGTGTTTGTGTGTGTGTGTATGTGTGTTAATGAAAGCAGGGCTGAAACATTAATATGAAGAAAATCTTTCCCAAAATTTGTATTATTCCAATGTTTCCTGGGCTCTATGCATATCCAGGTTCTACACTAAGGAAGAATGACTGTAAGATTCAGATTATGGGTAATTGTACCAGCATAATTAATATTCTAAAATGAACACAACTAAGTCAGACACCATAAAGACCAAGCTAAGGCAGCCTTCGGTGAACTCAGGCCAGCAGTGAAGCGGTGCTCAAGCGTGCCCCTGTGTGATACGTACTCGGAAGGTGTCTGTCTTGGTTCCATCGTGACCGTAGTCAGCAATCAGGGCAGCGCCTCCAGTGAGTGCAATGCGCTGAGCCAGCTCCTGTATGATGATCCCAGCTTCGGGGCAGACTTCTACATGGTCCCTTTTCTCATCGTGCTGGGGAGGGGATCACAGTGTGTCACTTGAGAGAACTGGTTTTCACTGTCCACAAGTTGAACATTTCTTAGTTATAATGAACTCAACGCAAATATGGTCTAGACAGTGTTTCGCATGACATCCCTTCATTATACAGAACATGGTTCTTTTCATGTTGGACATTAAGTTTGTAGACATTTCAATATTTTTATTTATTTATTTATTTATTTATTTTGGTTTTTTGAGATAGGGGTTCTCTGTAGCTTTGGAGCCTGTCCTGGAACTAGCTCTTGTAGACCAGGCTGGCCTTGAACTCACTGCCTCCCAGGTGCTGGGATTAAAGGCACATGCCACCACCACCCTATATTTTATATATTTTTTAAAAGGCATATGTACTCTGAACCTTCCACATAGTCAAATGCAGTATCATTTTATTAAAATAGCATTTCCCTATATTAGTATATGAAAACATAGTTCATTGGATTGTATATGTGCGGAGAGGCCAGCTAACACTAATAGGGACTGAAAAGATACTTTCAAAAGTACCACTTAGGGGCCGGGCAGCAGTGGCCCACACCTTTAATCCCAGCACTCAGGAGGCAGAAACTGGTGAATCTCTGTGAGTTCAAGGCCAGCCTGGTCTATAAGAGCTAGTTCCAGGATAGGCTCCAAAGCTACAGAGAAACCCTGTCTGGAAAGAAAAAAAAAAAAAGTACCACTTATAAAAATCCGACTAAATCAGATTGCGCAACTATGTTGCCTTCTGTGAAGGCAGAAAGCATTCCAGTGGTTTCCTGCATCTACAAGCATCACTTTATGAACTTGACAGTCTTGTGAAATTATGTTAGCATCTTCACTATGGAAGCCCACCATCCTTTACTCCCTGTGACACCTGAAAACAAAGTCATCTACAGTGATGTCTCTGCTTGTGATGGGGCAGGCACAAGAGATGTCCAGTCACAGACTTAGGGTCAGACCCCAGCAATTCCTGCTGCTCCATGGATGACAAGATTTCTGTCTGTTCTGATAAACAGCTCTGGGTCTATAGTGGGGATTCAGTAAAATAAACGTTTAGCCCTAATGATATTAGATAAGCCAGTGTAGCTACAAAAATCACAAAGCCAGCCTCTTGAGAAGACATCTGCCAGCAGGCCTCGGGTCACCTGCTGACACCCATAGCTCCTCAGACTGATCTGCACCCCTGGCACCCTATGGCCCATTTAGGTGCAAGGAGATCCCAACCCTTGCTAAGTGAGTGCTAGTCAAGAACTGCGAAAGACGACTGCCAGGGGCAGTGACTTCAGGGAGGAGGCGGCACTTTGTGGCCTTATAAATAGGTTTGCCATTCAGGCAGAATTGCACAGAACAGGAAAAACTGCCCACAAGTGTTTGGTCTGGTGCTATAACTTATACTTTGTGAAAAAGCAAGTAGGTATGTTTTTAAAAACTTGTTTTTAAAACTGAAAACTGGGAAATTCTTAAGAGCAAGAAACATTTTTCTGGGGTAGAGAAGCGGGAATAAAAAGGCACTGTGAAGCGCAGATATTCCTGAGGCTAACGCGCTGTTTGGGGACCTTTAAACACAGCCCTGGGGCTGGAGGGATGGCTCAGCAGATAAGAGCACTGGGTGTTCTTCCAGAGAACCTTGGTTTGATTCCCAGCATCCACATGGAAGCTAACAACCACCTTTAATTCCAGTTTCAGGGGAACCGACACCCTCACACAGACATGCAGGGGGAACACCAATATATAAAATAAAACCATTTTTAAAAAGTTCCGCACAGTTCAAAGATAGAAAGCTCTGGGAATCTTTCCTTAGGGGCAGCAGAAAGCAGTCGTTAATCTCTCCACAGTGTGGGATCAAAGGTGGGTGGGGGTTCACGTGTGACCAAACGGCTGTGCTCCTGCCCAGTGATGAAAGGAAGTGTACCTACTGAGAACATACAGAGCAGAACACGATGCTCAGTCAATCAGCTGGCCTATAGCACACTGCCTTCAGATAAACAGGCAGATAGACAGTGGGTCACATGGCAGCGTGTGTCTTCAGAGGCACTTTGGCTGAGTAAACGCCCCGTCTTCCTCCACAGCAGTGAGAGGCCACACAGAGACAACTTCAGCCCATCCTCCTGACTCGAGGTCTGGGCTGTCGCTGTGACTGTACTACAAAGCACCTCACGTGCTGCCAGTACTTCGGAGCACTGGGAAGAAGTTAAAATACCAGGAAAACAGGCCAGACTACTCTGCAGCGACAAAAGAAAAACTCAGATTCATACTTGTATGAAGGCTTCTGCTGGGGTTGCACAAGGCGCCAGGACGAACCTCAGCTTATCAGAAACCCGTGGGTCGATATCAACAAGCACTTCTCTCCATCCTTGTGGTGTTTTCTAAACAAAACATAAAAATAAATATTTGCAAGCTCTTAAAACATCATGTCCTGAAGAAGCCGTAACAAGAAGAGCTCTAGAAAGCAAGCGGCACGGGGCTGCTCAGGAAGGCAACCTCCATCTGAGCAAGCGAGCGATCCATTACATGAGACACTCTCAGCCTCAGCAGTCGCCATAGATGACACTGAAAGACTTGCCCAAATAAACCTCAGTGACACGTCACTCACCACTGAATGTCCTCCTATGTCTTCATCCCAAACTAAGAATTCAGAGTAATTTTCCCAGGAGAATAAAGATTCTGGGTGCTATTTCATTTTTAGTTCTCAGTCATTCATAGTCATGAAAATCCCACCTAATACTGACTTGAGCAAGCAGTGGACAAGCACTATCAGTTCACTGGCATGGCCTTAGTTAACCCTACACACAACTTTTCCATCAATACCTGAAACTTATGCACGGGAAGAACATCGAAAAACTCATGTGCGAGATAAAAGCTGTATCCTGTTTAAAAATACAAGAAAAATTAATGATTCAGCATTTCAAAACAATTCTAATGAACATTAACCATAAAAAAGAAAGTGTCCAATTCTTCAGCACTGGAGCCTGGGATGTCCCTATACGATCCTCTATGGCGGTGGTTCTCAGCCTTTCTAAGACTGTGGCCCTTTAATACAGTTCCTTGTGATATGGTGATCCCCAATCACAAAATTATTTTCTTTGTTATTTTGTAACTGTAATTTTGATACTGTTATGAATCATAATGTAAATGTCTGATATGCAGGATATCTGACATGTAACCCCTGTGAAAGGGTCGGTCAACCCCTAAGGGGTCAGGACCCAGAGGTTTCCACATAATGACCTGAGAACCGAAATACCCCATGGTCCGCTAACTCTTCATCACTAACTTCCTAAAAACAATGAGACTCAAATGTGCTAGTGGGAAAGGAATGTGAGCTTCATATAGTATCTGAGAAAGCTAAGGCCAGAAACAGCTTTTAGTGTCTTGCTGGAGAGCTTACCTCCTTACTAGCTGCCAAAGACTAGACTAGCACAGGGCATCTTACCCCTACACCTTGCTTGCCTTTGGGAAAGTAAAGGTTTCTCAAGAGATTAATGACGAAACCCATCTACTATCTCTTTCTTCAGCCTGCTGCTTTGGGCATTTTATCATCAGTACCATCCTAGCTAAAGGGAACTACTGCAAAGTACAGAGATTTTATATTTTTATTTGGTTTGCTTCCTATAAAACGATACGAGGGTTGGAGAGATGGCTCAAAGGTTAAGAGCACTGCCTGCCCTTCCAGAGGTCCTGAATTCAATTCCCAGCAGCCACATGGTAGCCCACAACCATCTGTAATAAGATCTGGCGCCCTCTCCTGGCCTGCCAGGATACATGCAGGCAGACACTGTATACATAATAAATAAATAAATCTTTTATTAAAAAGATATGAAATACACGGCTCCTTAATGCTCAGCAATCTTCTATTATAATGTCCTGTGCTAGAAAAGGAAAAATCAGCTATTCACTTTAAAGGAGGGACTTGGAAGCACTAACTGTTAGACTGCAGTGAATCACTGTTGGCCATCTCGGCTGCGAGGGGTCCTGAGCAACACTCTGCCTTAAGTCCATGTGGAACATACCTTTAGGGACATCCTTCAGATCCCGGTACCAGGAGACTGGAATCCCAGACTTGCTGACACCTTTCATGTACACCAGGGAGTCAGCATCTCTCTCCAAGGGGAGCTTCTCCTCCGTCAGTGTCAGTGCTTGAATCTCACTTAACTTTTGGCTCACCTCTACGAGGTGGATTGAAATGTCGCAGTTTTTTAGCACAGACCCAAGCTGACTGAACACCTAAGACAAAAAGAGGACACTGTCTTAGTTTCTGTCCTATCACATGACAATAGCCAAGACTACTTAGAAAAGACAGCATTAGCTGGGGGCTTGACTACCGAGGGTGAATCCACGACCACTACAGTGGGCAGCAGGGCAGCAGGCAGGCAGACGTGATACTGGAACGGTGGCTTTCATCTTATCCACAGGCTGGCGGCAGAGACTGAGAATGGGCATGGTGGGGGCTTTGGAAACCTCAAACCCACCGCCAAGTGACACACCTGCTCTAACAAGGCCACCTCCTTATCTTCCAGAACAGTTCTGCCAACTAGTGACAAAGCATTCAAATATATGAGCCTATGGGGGCCAACGCACCACACATGGGCAAACACAATGTGTCAAGTAGACGAATTTCTGACTGCTCACCACAAACATTTATTATATCACGAGAGTATTCGCTGTTAGAGATGTAACCCTGACCCGTCATTCTCCAGCAACATTATTAGAACCATACCTTAGCGTTAATAAACATCATTTATATATAAAATAAACTGTACAACATGACTTCTTAATAACAATTTACTATTAAAAATTAAAAGACTTAGTAACCCCACAATGGTTACGATCAGAAACTTTTTAAATGTCCAAGGAAATAAAATGTCTGGGGACATGATGAAACTATCCTCAGAACGAAATTAAATGCACTGGTTACTTGACTGATCCTGAGATTAAAAAATATTTTCAATTTTCCCTTTGCTACAAAATAGTCTTTTTTACTATTGTAAACATACAGGGGAAAAAAGAAAATACACACATCTTATCCACCTTCTAGCAACACAGTATCAAAGGCATAAATGACATCATCCAACCATTTTATATTTTTAGCCTATATAACACCCCTCAATTTTATAAGCTTACAGACAAGAATAAGTATGAACCATTACTCTGGCACTGTATTTTAGTTGACAAATATAAGATTTAGCAAGAAGGACTGAAAACCAAGAAGATCAGTGAAAATCCCAAATTCAGTCAAAAACAGAAAGATGAATCTACATGACTTAGAGATAGTCTTTTACTACCTACCCTCAAAATATCTCCAGTGAGGGTACCCCGGCCTGGGCCCAGCTCCACCAGCTGGAAAGTTGTACTTTTTCCAGAGCTCATCCATTCACTAACGAACCATATCCCTAGGAGCTATAACGAGAAAAAAAATTAGAGAGTCACAGCATAAAATTCTACATAAATACATATTTTATACAAAAAACAAAACATTTGCCAATAATTCTATGCATGGTATTAGACAGATATATATATATATATACAGATACACAATAATTCTATGCATGGTATTAGACAGGCATAGATATATACAGATACACACACAGGAGCTTCCCGGGATTGCCTGGGCGCTCACAGCAGAGGAAGCTTACTCTAGGAGCAAATGTTGTTAGGTCGTCTCCTACAAAAGGCTTCACAGCGCAGAGAAGCAGTCACTTACAGAAAGGTAACAGCGTTTGAAAACCAAAGGACACAGGAACACCAATTATCATTTCTTCCTGCTCTCATCATTGACATTATTACACTACCCTTAGCTGTAATTAATGTCTCTCAGGCCTAGATTTCACTTCTCTTTATGCACAATTTCCTATTTTTAAGTCATCAAAGGTACTTGGGGGGAAACAAATGAACCATGGTTTTGTTACTTACAGGGAGACCCCTGTAGGCAGGAAGTGCTAGCGATCATTGTGGGTTTGGTTTTTGGTTTTGGATTTGTTTTGCTCTCTCCTTTTCCAATCTCATATTTTTTATGGTTCTCCTCAAACTTTTTCTATCTTCCTTCATATTTTTCCATTTCTTTTTTTATATATGAAGTCTGGGTTTCCCAAATGTCCTCTCCATCATTCCCTCTAAAAGTGTTAAATATCTGATGAAACACGCACACACACACACACACACACACACACACACACACACACACACATGCCCATAAAACACTGTTACAGACTAGCAGAGCCTGGTCTGTTCTCAGTGTTTACGGCATTCATTCCTTTTACGGTCTACACGTTGGGCATTACCTCCCCAAAGATCTGACTTATTTCAGGTGAGGTTATGAAGTCTCCTTTTTCTCCTAGCATATCGTGATGCACATAATAGCCCTGGGTAAGAAGAGAAAATGGAAAAGATTAATTTTCAAATAAGGCTTTCAAAACTACTCCTCCAAAATGTTATGTAATACATACAGTGGCATAACTATTTATCAATGAAGTTATCTCTTCTGAAATAACCAAGAGAAAGACAGAGTCTTTACCCAAGTTTTACATGGTAGTGGTCATTTTGCAAAACTCATAGAAAAGCAATCACTCCTCAAGAAGGGCTGGAGCCATGCAATGTTCGTCTCTATCGTCCCTGCCCTCTCCCCGACCCCACAGTTCAACAGGGGAAGACTAATCACCTCTGCAGCCTCCTCTCCTAAGTTAGTCTTGCCTCTGTTTCATGTGAAAATCTGTGTGTGTATGTGTGTGTGAGAGAGAGAGAAAGTGAGAAAGAAAGAGAGAGAGAGAGAGAGAGAGAGAGAGAGAGAGAGAGAGAGAGATCCATCCAATTATATACCAGTGACTTAGGTACTTTTTATATAATTAATGTATCTCAATTTTTTAAAAAAAAAAAAAAAGAAAGTGGGCTTTAAAAAATAAAACTGGCCTTGCTTGTCTACTTCCATGCCAATGCAGTCTCATTTCTTCCCTAAAGGGAAGACTAAAAGTCCTCCTGGCATCCTTATCAGTTCAGTCTACTCACATACAACTCCACTGACTGCATACCCAAAACTAAATCCAGTGGTTTTTTTTATACGTCTATAGTTACTTTGATTAAGTCTAATTATTTGAGAAGACCATGTCTTACTATCTTCATATCATAAGTTTAGCCATAACACTTAACTTTCAAGAAAGACTCACTTGTAGCCTAGAATTTTGACCTAAAATCCCAGCACTCAGAAGAGAAAACAGAAAAGATTCCACCACCACCACCCAGCACAGTTAGAAAATCATCTTTCCTTTAACTCATGAAATTCCACCACATTCTGTCACACCTAACCACTGCAGAAATTTGCCCTGACCTCTTTATTGGCGCTGCCCTTGAATTAACGCAGCCTGATCAACTGACTACATCCCAAGGACTTCGGAGATTGCTCATCCTCTGCCAGCTCTCGGGACCTCCGGGTTCCTGTGTCTACACACCCTTCGTGGCTCGCGCTCCCCTGTTTTTACCTTGGCTGGGTTGGTCAAAACCTCCTTCATGTACTCTGCCACAGTGATGGGACCTGTAGACTTTATTTTATACATAAGATGCCGCAGCATCGGCGTCACCTGGTGGCTTTCTGCCGGCTCATTCCCGGAGCTGAAGAATTTCCCTCTCCAAATACAGGGAATGCCTGAAAAGCACGGTTAAGCACCCGCATGAGAAATCTCCGTTTCATTTACACGCGCAAACTTGCAAGAGCTTGCAAGGCAGCCTGTTTGTTACTAACGTCGCCCCAATGTCAGAACCCTATGCACGGAGCCCACGACTACCCCACCACCAAGCCTCTCCGTGGACCGCCTTCCGGCACCAGCTCCGGGCCCAGAAAACAACCGAGGAACCAAGAAGCCGCGACACGCGGTTTCCATGGAAACAGAAGTCTGCAGCGAGGACTCTTACCCGCACGGGCCACTCCACGTCTCACCAAAGCATTCATCCCCAATCACGTCGGGGCCAAGCTCCGCCCTGGGGGCGGAGAGGAAGGGTATTTCCTGACACGCCCACTGACACGGAAGTGCGTCACCGGAAAGAGACAGTGAGTTGCAGGCTGCTCGCGCGTGTTCTGCCAGCGATGTCGGCCGGCGGGGAACCTTTAGAGTTCCATGCCAAGCAGCCCTGGCGACCCAAAGCGGTGACAGAAGATCCGGAGGAGGAAGACGAGGAGGATAGCGATGAGGCCAAGGATGGCTTCTCTCTGGAGGAGGTGTTACGCCTCGGAGGCACCAAGGTACCGGCCGCAGGCTTCGGGGAAAGGGATGCGCACGACTACCGGGAGTGTGGGAAGCCCAGCCTCCGACTTGTTCTGAGCGCTTCCAACGCCTTTAGCTGCTCTTTGATGGAATAAAAATAGCCAAGTTGCATATTTTTTCCTAGGTTTATGCTTCCTTTTTTTTTTTTGTTTTTCGAGACAGGGTTTCTATGTGACTTTGGAGCCTGTCCTGGAACTAGCTCTTGTAGACCAGGCTGGCCTCGAACTCACAGAGATCTGCCTGCCTCTGCCTCCTGAGTGCTGGGATTAAAGGCATGCGCCACCACCGCCCGGCCTATGCTTCCTTGAGATGTAGGCGAGCTTGTTACTAGCGTGGCGTAACCGTCACGCCCGTCAGGTAGGAGAAAACTAACTTACTGGTCCCAACCTCGTGAACTTAAATTTGGAACGCTAGAGTATGCCTAATCTGAATCTGCTGGGTTAAAAGAGAATGCCTTATGGGTTGGATTGAAGTTGCCAAAAGGATCTACAAGTTCACAATAGCCTTTGATGAAAGCACCTTTTCGTACCTACACTATTCATAAAGTGTTCTTTTATTAATGGAGGGAGTGCTGTATGTTCTTTGGTACTCGTGTATGGAAATCAAAGGACAATTTTGTGGAGTCGATTCTCTCCTTTATGTGGACTCTGGGAATCGAACTCGGGTCGCTGTGCTTGCATTGCAAGGGCTTGACCTGCTGAACCACCCCATGCCCTCTCACATAAACTTTTGCCTTTGCTCACCTGACACGTTACAAATGCATGTGTCATTGCGATTTTCATTGGATTTCGGTGGCTGTCAGCGTGAGCATCTTTTCTCTGAGAACCGTCTTTTCTTATAGCGTACATGTCCTTGGCACACTTTCTTGTTGGCTGTGAGTTTCCCAGGCAGTGGTGTATTCATTCAAATGTGATGAAGTTCTTACTGCAGGTCTGGGTTTGTGATATAGTTTTAACGTTTTTTTTCTGCTTCTGCAGCAAGATTACCTTATGCTGGCTACTTTGGACGAAAATGAGGAAGTGGTAGATGGAGGCAAAAAAGGAACAATTGACGATCTTCAGCAAGGCGAACTGGAGGCCTTTATTCAAAATCTTAACTTGGCCAAGTACGCAAAGTCTTTGATTGAAGAGGATGAACCAGATGAAAAAGAAAATGCTAGCAAAAAGGAAGCAAAAATACAGAAGGTAGAAAATAAAAAACAAAAAGCAATAGAAAGTAAAAATACATCAGAAAAGAAGGCGAAAAATAAGAATGTACCAGAACAGCATTCTGGTAGCAGTACTATCCCTACACTAAAGAAAGATAAGCAACCCGATGTGTTCGAATTTCTTGAGAGGCAAACATTGTTGCTGAAGCCTGGAGGCAAGTGGTATGACGCGGAGTACAGCAACGACTGCTCTTCGGAGCCCCAGCCTCGGGATGTGGTGGCTAAATACAAAGCCCTGGCTCAGAAGCTGTATGAGCACGAAGTCGGCTTATTCAAAAATAAGACAAGTAATCAAAAGGGAGGCTCTTCCACCTGGATGAAGGCAATCGTGTCGTCGGGGACGCTGGGTGACAGGATGGCGGCCATGATCCTTCTGATCCAGGATGATGCTGTCCACACGCTCCAGTTTGTAGAAACCCTCTTGAGCCTTGTGAAGAAGAAGGGCAGCAAGCAGCAGTGCCTCCAGGCTTTGGATACATTCAAGGAGCTACTCATCACGGACCTTCTGCCGGACAGTCGGAAGCTGCGGGCCTTCAGCCAGCATCCTTTGCACAGACTGGAGGAGCTGTCCAGCGGCAACAAGGACTCGAGAGATCGCAGACTCCTCCTGTGGTATTTTGAACACCAGCTGAAGCAGCTAGTAGCGGAGTTCGTGCAGGTCCTAGAAACTCTAAGTCACGATTCCCTGGTAACCACTCGGACCCGGGCCCTCGTGGCTGCTCATGAGCTGCTGTGTGAAAAGCCTGAGGAGGAGAAGGCTCTTCTGGTTCAGGTGGTAAACAAGCTGGGAGACCCTCAGAACAGGATCGCCACGAAAGCGTCCCATCTGCTAGAGGTGCTACTGCGGAAGCATCCCAACATGAAGGGGGTCGTGTGCGGAGAAATAGAACGGCTGCTCTTTCGCTCCAATATCAGCGCCAAAGCCCAGTACTATGCGATTTGCTTTTTAAACCAAATGGTCCTCTCCCATGAAGAAAGTGAGTTGGCGAACAAATTGATAACTCTTTATTTTTGTTTCTTTCGGACTTGTATCAAGAAGAAAGACATTGAATCAAAAATGCTCAGCGCCATTTTAACAGGAGTGAACAGGGCATACCCTTATTCCCAGACAGGTGACGACAGAGTGAGGGAGCAGGTGGACACTTTATTCAAAGTGTTGCATGTTGTAAATTTCAGTACCAGTGTGCAGGCTTTAATGCTGCTTTTCCAAGTAATGAATTCTCAGCAGACGATATCCGATCGGTATTATACAGCATTATACAGGTAAGCGCATAGCACTGTTGTGTATGAATGCAGTGGAAACCTGTGTAGCCCTGGCTTGCCTTGAATTTGCTATGGAATTCAGGCTAGCCTCGAACTCCATGAGAGCGACCTGCCTCTGCCTTCCAAGAACTGATTAAAAGCAGATTGAATGAGTTATCGGATTTTATTATTTGGCTTCTGTTAACCTTTCAGGTGGGGCTCTTAGCTATATGAAAACTACACTTTTAGGTATAACTAAATTAGGTATAAATTATATAATTTTATATAAATTAGAGAAGAAAACAGTCACAAAACAAGGGGCTCACGACTTCTCTCCTTTTTTGTTCTTTCTCTTGGGGTCCTTGATTTTCATTTTATCTGAGAAAGCAGAAATAAATAGTCTCTTATTCTAACATAAACAAGAAATTTATCCCTGACGAAGATGAGATTGTTATAATTGGTCGTGAAGTCTCTAAACTGTGACCACTGGATGTGAAGATGATCTTGTGATTGAACGTTTGTCCTTGGTTTCATGTTACAGAAAGATGTTGGATCCAGGGTTGGCAACATGTTCGAAGCAAGCGATGTTTCTTAACCTCGTCTACAAATCTCTGAAAGCGGACATCGTGTTGCGCCGGGTGAAGGCATTTGTGAAACGATTGCTTCAGGTTACCTGCACACAGATGCCGCCGTTCATCTGCGGAGCCCTGTATCTTGTGTCAGAGATCCTTAAAGCAAAACCCGATTTAAGAAGCCAACTGGATGATCATCCGGTATGGTTTTTACTGCTTCTTGACCCTGGTGGGGGTGCTGGTGTGGGGGGTGCTTTTCTTTACTTTACTGATGGTAACGTCATTTCTCTGGAATGTGTTAGAGTATGAGTTCTAGAACTGGACAGAGCTAGATTTCACTGCCTGGTGTACAGCTAGCTAGGTGGGCAGGTTGCTTGACTCCCCTATTTATTGCATAAGTTGTCCTACAATAGAAATTGCAATCATATGAGGTAGTTATGGGTGATTATAGAGTGAGTAGATCTTTTCACCGTGTTTCCTCAGTTATGAAATGGAAATAAAAGCCAGGCCGTGGTGGCGTATGCCTTTAATCCCAGCACTTGGGAGGCAGGGGCAGGCGGATCTCTTTGAGTTTGAGGCCAGCCTGGTCTACAAGAGCTAGTTCCAGGACAGACTCCAAAGCTACAGAGAAACCCCATCTCGGGGGGGGGGGGGGCGCGGGGGCAGAAAGGAAGGAAGGAAAGAAAGGGAAATAAATAGTAATAACACCTGCCCCTTTTATTTACAACACAAAAAACGTTTGAGGGTTCAGTTCTAAACTCTGGTTCAGAATCTGGCTCTCTTGTGTTTAGGAAGAAAGACTATAATCTTTTCATTGTGAGCAGCATTTGGGACCTTGATTTTCCTTGGTTGGTATTTTCATGCATTGCCAGAATTGCCGTAAGTCTCTTGAGACTGCATCACGTAGATGAGTGAGACTTTGCTGTGGCTCCTGTTAGTTAACAGCCCTTGATCCTTTTTGTTAGGAATCTGATGAAGAAAACTTTGTTGACGTGCGAGATGACAGTGATGAAGAAAAGTTCACTGACGCAGACAAAGAAACAGCTGTCGATGCAGTGAAGGAAGTCGGAGCCAAAGACACCGGGACTGAGGGCAGCACAGAAGCCAAGAAACCCAAGACCGCTTCCTGGGTGCACTTTGACAACCTGAAGGGTGAGGGGCTTTAGCTAAATGAAGGAATTAGTTTCCTCTTTCACCTTCATAGTCAAGTGAGTGCGTGTGTGTGCGTGTGTGTGTGTGTGTGTGTGTGTGTGTGAGAGAGAGAGAGAGAGAGAGAGAGAGAGAGAGAGAGAGGGAGAGGGAGGAGGTGGGGGAGGGAGAGAATGCTGGAGGTGGAACCCATAGCCTTTGGGTGTGCTGAGCAAGCATTATATTACTGAACCACATTTGCAACCATAAAATTTTAATGGTAGGGAATCACAGATAATTTTTATTAATGGAACTGCATGATTTAAATAAATATTGAAAATCAAAGCAGATGCCTTTTAGAGCTGTGGAAATTAGGTGGAAAAACAGTGAAATGCTCGATGCGCTGGGAATCATTTCTTCCGGCTTTAAATGGGAGTTTGTGCCACAGTGAGGCACTTCAGGCAGGGCACAGGCAGACGCCCACACGTGGCTCACGAGAGGTTGGATTTCTGAGTGGAACTGTATTTGATCCAATCTCTATGACATTTCTCAATTATTTTTTGTGTGTGTGTGTGGCCA